AAGTAATGAACCGATTGCAGAAAAGAAGAGTCTCGAAGAAAGGAACTTAGCTTCGGAAGCGAAGAGAGATGACGAAGCGAAGAATCTTGAGTCGGCGCAATTGACGAAGCAGCGGAGGAGGAAGCGAACGAGAGCTAAAAGAAGATGAACAGGTCAACCGCACGGCTCTGATGCCATGTTAGAATCCATGAGAGAGGAAGAAAGCTAGAATTTGTGAGTGAGAGAAACCAGAGAAGAAAGATAAAAGAGAAATGAAGTAGAATAAGATTCTGTTCTTAATTCACATGATTACAAGAGGAAGGTGCTATTTATAGCAACTCAATGACAGCTAACTAATAATAAAATAATAATTAACCCCAAACTATTGCTGACGAGGCTGGTCAGCTATTAGGAACCCATTGGTGTCAGCAAACAAATTTAATTCCAACTTCAAAAACCACACACCCAGAAAGAAGTCTAAGCCGAAATAAGACAGAAGATGTCAAATGATCGATAAAAGTTGAGAAATGGGCTGTTAATTTTATAAACACTAAACACATCATGCATATAGATAACAAATCCCACACTGACGAGACGAGGGGAAAATGATTTCCAATCTCAATTTAAACATCCTGGCAGATGATATCTAAAATAAATAGCAGACTTGCAACCTACACAACATCCGAGATTAAATATCCTAAAACTACAGGCATGAGACCAACTGACAACCTGACCTACGAGACAATTAGCAGTCAACCACCCTAATACATAAGATGTCAACTTCCTCAGAAACCATTAAGGCCGGGCTCTCTTGTTGGTGCAAGATGGGCATTTGTACTGCTTAATATGCTCAGCCCTAGCTGGGGTGATCTTAACGCACTTCCCATGGAACCACTTCTCACAGATGTCGCAGCAAATCCAGAATTCGTCAGATGCGTAGTTCTCTCCACAAGCCCCACACAGTGTCTCACCATGCTCGTCCTCATCGTCATCTTCCAGACCCTCCTCGTCCTCATCCTTTGATTGCACTGCCTTTGTATACCTGGGATGAGGCTCAGAACCACGCTGCATTTGCCAACACAATAAGTTACAAGGTGGCCAGGTTGTTCAGCAAACCAAAAACTAATAATGTATTCATCTTTTACTCTCATGTTGGCATGAAATCACAATATTTCTAGACATTTCACAGTTTATATTTTGAATTGTAGATACGTAAAGAAGAATGCAAAGTTTCCACGTTTGCACAGTTATCCCATGCCAAAAGACAACTTAAAGATTCTAGCACAACAATTTGAAGTTGAAAATAGCAACTAAATTATGAGATTCAGAAACTAGCAATCCAAGTTTTTCCGAACCTTAGAGTTTGATTTAGATCTGTTGCTGCCATGATTTGAATTTGATGACTTCTCCTTCACTTGTTTCTTAACTGTCCCTGTCACAACCTCGAATATTGTTGGAAGTTCATTTATCATATTAAAAAGGCGTTTCCTGCAAAGCAGATACCAACAGCATAATGGTAAGCTAACATGAAGAACCTAAATACAACAGAAATGCAAGACAAAACCAGAAAAGAGCACAAAAAAATAAATTTTGAGTTGTAGTTAGCAGACTCCAAGCAACCAAATGAAGGCTACGGTACCTAACTAGAACATTATCGAAAGGAATACAAAAAATGACCCTCCCTATTCCTTTTTCATTACAACAAGCCTCCTCTTTAATTGGTGTAATGCATCAAAAATTTAAATAAGAAAAGCTAAAAGTCAAACAGCTTCAACTAAATTCCCAGAAAGATGTCAAAAAACGTAACCTGACTATATCATGAACACCTTCTTCATTTTACCAAAGAAGAACAGACCCAACCGCTTAAAACAGCTGTGAACAGTAGGCTACAATTTATCAACTTTACTAGTGCTCAATCAAAAACTTATATTTGTAGTATTAGGCCATTGTAGTTTTCCTGAAAAGAAGAATACACAGCAAACAAACATATGCATGCGAGCACACAACATGTAACATTGCAATGTAATAGCACATAATGAAATCAAACTAGAGATGAGTACTATTAAACTAAGAGTAGGTTCCAGCAAACTAGAATATAAGGACGATGATTAAACAAAACACTAGCCTGACCTAAAAACAAAGTGATGACTCACCTCTGAACTAAAAGATCTGAACCCATTAGAATCATACAGAGTCAAACCACACGTTAATATTGTACAAAGAGCCATACCTATCAGCCTTATCAAATCCGAACCTAGCACCAAAATAAAATGCCACTGCAAGTAACCATGCATCACTGTGGACAGCAACCAAAGATAACCAATCCTTTTCTTGCATTCCATCTCTTGCAAAGTTAATACCAAGTGCTGGCTCCGGAAGCTCTGGAGGAACCTCCTCAGCAGGTAAATTAACTTCCCACTGCTCGGTTGGAAATCCATAAAGGCAAAGATTCTCCTTCTCTGTCATGAAGGATGTTTAAGGTACTATTGCATGCTCTATGAAAATCAAGGAAGCAATGAAGGTATGACAGAGAAGCACACGTAGGATCAACCATTATGGAAGCATTAAACTGTTGCATTCACATAGATTTTTCACCAAAACAAAGTATGAAACTTGGTTCATAATTTCCTTTTTAAGATATTCAAACAACTTACTTTAAAAGCAAGCCAAAGTAATTCAACTTAAATTCTGAAACTTTAATAAGATATATAAACACAAATTAAATTCATTATTATTAATTTTTAAATTATAAAAATACTTACTAAATTTGCACCCACCCAAGTTGATAATGCATCTTTGAAAAAGAATAATAATTTCTTCACATATTCTTCCAAGGTACTCAATAAGAAATTTGGTATTATCTTAGCAATATTTTCAACTACTACAAGAGGTCAAACATAGGCTTACGTGTGGTACATGCTCCCAATCCCAACTGAAAATAAGTAGAATGCATTAATCGGAAACTCTAACAACCACTGCATCTCTAAGCATAACCTAAAGCAATGCCAATGTATGCAAATTATCAACAACGAGAAAGGGCAGACCTTTAAGCCTAGAAGCTTCTACTTCCATAAATATTTTTTTTAAATGAAAATTAAATGCAAACAAAGATACAAGACTAAAAGTAGAAAATTGTTAGATAAAAATATAAATTAAAATGAGATTAATTATAGGTTTTCTTTTCATGAATTACTTTAAACAAATTTTTTTTTTTTAAAACATCTCTTTCACACACGTGTTGGTTTTTTTTTTTTTAATAATAAAAAAAAGTACCAGAAATGATTGAATAAAAACCCTTATTCAGTATTGATTAGAAAAAAACACATTCTGTCAATAACTAAACAGCGCCCGCACCAAAATTAACCACTACCCAAAAACAAAAAAAAATTGACAAAAAAAACTGAAGGAGAAATCCATTACCAGGGTCACACTGCTGAAAAAAGTCTTCGACCTCTGCAAACACAAAAAAGGAAAAATCACATCGAATTTCCATAGCTTTTACGGAGAGTAGAAAGTTGACTAGAAGCGGAAAAGATAAAATATACCGGTGGTGAGAGCTTTAATCATGGCGGCTCTTCGACCTTTGAAGTCTCTGAAGACCTCCTCAACCGTACGCGGGTTGTACAGAGCACCCGCATCCATGTCTTCTTCACAATTACAGAGACACAGAAAAAAGCGAAAGACTGGAAGAAAATACCAAAAAAATGGAGGGAAAGGTTGGAAAATATTTGACCTCTGACTCTGATGAGTGAGAGAGAAGGAGTTTTGTGTGTGGGCGTGTGTGAGAGACAGAGAGAGATGGTGCGGATTTAAATCGGAAGGAAATGGATTACTAAAGTGGATTTGATAAAAGAGCGAAGAGTCCGTGAGGATGATGAGATGAGACTGGCCCAACTATTTGCAAAGCCGAAAAGCCCTAAACACGATTAGTTCTCAAATTAAGACCTTGCCACGCTGGCAGTGGCAGTGGTTAATTACTGTTCCTCTGATTACGATGGTAGTGGGCCCGGGTTCTGAGTTCGACGAGTTCTCCAGGAGTGGGCTGTGGTCCTACAATGGCAGACAGTGATGTGGACTTTTGGGTTAATTGTCGATTTCTTTGGGAGAAATAATTCGTAACTTCCCAACTTTACCCGTGGCTGCACCGAAAAATTACAATGGGAAAAAAAAAAAAAAAAAAAAAAAAAAAAAAAAAAAAAAAAAAAAAAAAAAAACCAATGAAGACGTGACATCTTCAATCTTTCGACGAAAAAAAATATTATGTACATGTCCATTAGTAGTGCTGCTTATGCATTATAGCAAAATAAAATAATATGAAGACAGAAGATCATCGTGTAAGAAAGCTGAATGTGGCCAAACCATTTCAATTGATAGTTTGCATTGCACCAGATGAATGCCAAAATGCAAAGCTTCTTCCCTGACTGAAGAACACAACAAGGAGTCTGAAACCCAGAAAATTTGGTTATGTTCAAGATTCCAGGAAACTTACTCGAGCTTTGTGATCATGTTGAAGGAAATGATCAGGCATGCCATATAGAAGCATGGCAAATCTATGTTCTTGATCATCAAGAATTTTCAATTCTTCATGACTCCATTCTATTCATCTTAATCACTTGCCTATTAGAACTTGGATCACTGCTTATATCAAGTACCCTCTTTTCTAGCACACCTCTGTAACTATCTACATCAACCACTGTGCATCTGTTACACATATCCTCAAATATCCTCTCAGCCTCAAGGACCATCCCTTTTGCACACAGCTCCTCGACCAAAATTGAAAAGCTCTCCAAACTAATAATATGATTATTATCCAATGCTCCACAGAAAGCCTGTATTGCCATGTTCACATTGCCATCCTCACAATAACCCATAATTACACAACTGTAGAGGACGGTATCAAGCTTGTGGCCGTTCCGAAGCATGTCACCAACAAGCTCTTCAACCTCCCTCATTATACCTCTCATATTACAAAGACTACATATCACTGTGTTATATGAAAAGAAATTTGGAGAGCAGCCCATTTGGTGCATCTTCTTTAGAAGAATAATGGCTCTTTCAAGGTCCCCGTTTTCGACAAGAACCTTGAGCAGTTTGTTAAAGCTTGAAACACTTGGCTTTAGGCCTCTCATCCTCATTTCCCTCAAAATGGACATCGCTCCATCCGGTTTTCTCATCATACAGTACTCATTAAAAACGACTCCATATGCTTCCACATCCGGTTTCATCCCATGATTCACTATATCTTGAAGATGCTTAACTGCTTCGTCAGCCTTTCCAACAATGCAAATCCCTTTCAATATGGCCGTATGTGTAGCTATATTGTCCTTCACACCATTTAACCTCATCCTTGTCAACATCCTCTTTGCCTCACTAACATGACCACTCAAACAGAAACCATGAATCAACGCATTGTAAGTAAACAGATTAGGCTCACAACCCTGCTTCTCCATTTCTTTCATACACTCCATTGCCTCCTCCAACTCACCTTTCTTACAATACCCATCAATCAAAGTTGTATACGTTACCGTATCAGGCAAACAATGCTCACTCTCCCTCAACTGACCAAAAACTCTCCTCGCACTATCAAAATCACCCTTTAGACAAAACCCATGAATCATAGTGTTGTAAGTAATCAAATTTGGCTCGCAAGTCATTTCATCAAACACCTTCTTGGCATTCTCAATTTCACCCCTTTTGCAAAACCCTCTAATCATTATTGTACAAGTCCATACATTCGGATTTACCAGAGCTTCCTTAACAATCTGATCATAAATTGCCTTAGCTAAATTCATTCTATTAGCCCTAACCAGCACACCCAGAATCGCATTATAAGAAAACAAGCACCGCCCATTCTCAATCGACTTCGCCTTGTAAAACCAATCTATGGCGGCTCTGATATCGCCGCAGCGGCCATGAGTTGTGATGAACCTACCAAGCATAAAATCATAGAGTCTATTGGATTCTTGAAGGAGTGAGGAGGCAGTGGAGAAGAGGGAGTGGGAGAGAAGAAGCTCAGTGATGGCCAAGTAGCAGTTGTGGGTGTGAGAATAGTTGTTGGGATTAGGATCAGGGTTTGAGGACCATTTGAAGAAGAAGAGGGCATGGTAAGGATTGGGCTGAGATTTGATGACTTGGATAACTAGGCTTGGGTTCAGGTGAGGTGAGAATTGGTTAAGGGAGGCTGAGCTGACGTTTGAGGGGTTAGGGTTTTGTGGATCTAGGGTTTGCAGAAGGGAGGTTATGCAGGTCAACAGAGAGAGATTTGTAGAGGGGTGAGATGGGTTGGTTAGGGCTCTAACTGGCGTGGCCATTGATTTTCCAAAGAGCCTTCCTCCAGAGGAAGAAGATAGTGACATTGTCTCTAATTGGAGGGAACATATTTCACTTTTGGCACTTATGAATAACTTAAGCAAACAGAATTGATTTTGCACAAGCACTTTTAATTTACATAACAACTACTTGGTGTTGTTAATGACAATAATTGGTATACAAGCACTTCCAAACATAAATTCGACGATAAAAGTTAATCTCGCTTTCATAAATTTAAATAAAGTAGGCGACTGATCCTAACATATGTCATACAAGATAATTAATGCAATTAGAAAATATAATTTTTAGCATTACTCGTATTTGAAAGGAATGATATATATTACATTTTCCCCACTTTATTTACATCATGATTCTTGTGACTTGATTTGTAGAGGTGTGAGATGAGCTGCAATTGTCAAACTACAAAATGATCACCATGTTTTCGGGGGACAGGAGCCACTTGGCGGCCGGAGTACTGTTGTGGCGCGAACAGCTTTCGGAGCAATGGGAAGTAAATGGTTAGACCAGGCCATGAGGTGAAGCTGAACTCTTTCCATCTGGTCAATGGCCGAGGCAAGAGTTTCTTTAATTTCTGTGTGATCACAACAGTGTATGAGCCCCGCAGAGCTAACATGTGATGGCATCAAGCTCTTGCCCTCTAACCTAGACATCACAAGCTGGCGGCCACTTGCGTATGCTTCCTCATGAAGGCTGCCAAGCCCACAACGATCAGCAGCTGAACCTTTTGTCACTGAGTGAATGCAAATCAGTCCCTGCACTTGTTTTTAAAGCATAACAAAATGAAAGTTTAGTGTATCAGTCTGTCAAAGTAGTGGTATGCTGCATTTTTCTGGTAAGTTTTTCTGAACAAAAGTGCATGCAGGATTCTAACCTCGTCAGTGCGTTTGATGTCCAATCCGAACCGCACTTCACCAGGTTGAGGTATCAAGTCAACTAGCATTTCTGCAGCTCCGGGCATGAACCAGAGTCTAATGCCTTGCACTATTTGGACTGTTGTTGTTGTTGTGTAATTTTGTTGCCTACCCCAACTCATATCCTTTCCTATCAAATTATTCTTCTCCTTCAACAAAAAAGAAAAAAAAATCTAATTAAAACGGAGAATAAAATGGTTACTAACTAGCAATTCAAGATGACTAAAAAGAAAGATTGATACCGATGACACGATCTGTTCTGTTTGAATATTAACAAAAACAAGAGGAACCCCTGAAGCAACTGCTGCAGAAAACCAAGCCATGCACCTGGCTGTTGTGGCCTCAGTGCATTTCTCGCCTGGCAGTGGCATGAACAAAATGGAGCTAACAATTGTGCAACGTTGGTCAGGCAAATAGCTACCAACTTTCATCTTCCAGTCATATTTAACTCCCCTTTTGTTATATCCTCTGTACACCACGTTTACCAAACTCCTGCTCAATTCTGCAAAATCAAATAAAACACAGATCACTCAAGGGCACACTGGTTTCAGATGAATAAGAGTTTTCATTGTCTGATTTGTGAGGACCTTCCTTAATTGTCTAATGTTAGACAATCCAAAATGTTATGTTATTAGACCGTGAATCATAACCGCTGTTTATGTGGGATCAAAACAGAATGTGTGATCCTAATTCATAGTATGACAACATAACATGTCCCATATCTATCAAGAGATCATCACTATCTTTACTATAAAAAATCTGTCAAGGAAAAACCTACCCTGAAGCTCAGAACATTGGTCTGAGGTCAAGTCCCCCAAAATTGCAACATGTCTGTCATCTGTAGCTGCTCTAATGGTATACCTTCTCTGAAGCATCGAAATCTTCTCAGCCACGACACAGGTCTGGAGCTTGAGTGTGCTCTCACCTCTTCTCACCTTGACCCAAATGACCTCAACATGGCTGAACTTAGCAAGCTGTGAGGTAAGCTCTGACTTGGCTTTGGTAGGCACAAAAAACTCATCAGCAATAGTATCACTACTCTCAGAATTATAAAACCCTTCAATTATATCTCCAGGCAATGGCATGCTCTCATCCCACTCTTCTGGTTCCTCTTGCTTCACTTGTTTCACACACACCAGTGTCTGAGCACTGGCCATGTCTATGTTCTTCTTCAAAATGCAACAACTGCCTCCCATAATCTTATCGATCGAATTCACTGAAGATATGTTTCATCGATTTCTTAGGAATCTCCATCCATTTACGAACACTTCAAAGTTAATCTTAGGTTACTACGTCTTACACATTATAGTGAGGGAACTTGGCCATCCCATTGGGGTCTATATATAATCATTATATTGAGATAATACCTAGACAGCCAGCTGGCCGCTCTACATGGATATTGATGTGAAAAATGGATTGGGAACCAATAGACTAATTAAGAAAAAGAGTTGGTTAAGTACAAACAAGGATCACTATAATTAATCTTATAATACAAGTCAAATATCTGCAAATGTATAGTCATTTTCTGTACAAGTTGCTTTCAGTCTCGAGAAAATTACATTTCCTTAATAAAAATAATTAATTTCTTTAAAAATTTATACGTAACCCCTCTGCACTGCAAAACTAGGGAGACAGGATATGTACTTCATTCACATTATGGGACAAGTTCAGCTATTTCTCTTTCAAGCCTAGAGATTTCAGCTTCAGCATGCACCCTTGTCTCTGGATCATCTGAATCTAAACTTGGTCTTAACCTTGAAATTTGCCTATTAATGCTTGTAATCTGCACATGTGATAAAACAACAAAACAAAAAACAAAATAGGTAGGAGAAATGAAGAAACAAAGAACTTCATAGAAAAAGATATATAGAGGAAGACAAACCTTTCTAGAAGGCCATCTACGTAATCCATTCCGGCGGCATATCCTTTTGACTACAGTTGGGCAGACATTCAATCTCCGAGCAGCTTTTTCAATGGGAAGATGGACGTAATCACGAAGATCATCCAATGTCATGTTTGCTGTTCTCTCCCTCTGCACTACTCCCCCAGCATGAAACAAATGACTAAGTTAACAAAAGAAAATATATATGTGTACTAATGTTTATCTAATTATTGTAGGCAAACTGTAAGAGCTTTTTGTATTGAAAAAGGTTAGAAACAACCTGTTCTGCAAGGGAAATCCTAGGATTCGTCTCAATCTCATGCTCGGCAGCCTCTGTTTGAACTGCAGCAGGTTTTTCCAAATCACCTGCTGTTCCTGAAATAAATAAATAAAATAGAAAATTTAACTCAACCCCTTGTTTGAACATAAAATTTCCTAGATTGTACAAGTGCACAAGGCAGATCGAATGCACGAACCTGAATCCGGTGGAGATGGTGGAAAATCGAAGTCATCGGTGGGGTTCAGAATGGCATCCCAATCCACTCCAACGCAGAGTGCCTCATAAAAGAATGTCAATGGATCTTGCTGCATAATGTACCCTTCTAGCTTTCTTTCTAAGCAGTACTGCATCAGAAATTGCTTCACCTCCTCCCCTGGTGTCTTGCAAAAACTAATTCAAAAAATAAAAGAAAAAACAATAACACAAATCAAATCCTTGGTGCCAACCCTTCAATCTACAATGAAAAGGGGGTACAAAAACTTACTCAAGTATTTGATACTGATGATTGCCAGAAGAATTCACATTGGCATTGGGCCGACTCTGAAGAATTGCGTGACAGATTACACCGAGTCTTCCATGAATCTCAAGTTTCATAACGTTGTCGCCTTCCATCCAATACGAAAAGCGAAATTAGTACAGTCTTCAACGCTTAAATTGAATAAAACCCACAAAACTAATTCTACTAATGCAAGAAAGAACACAAAACTTACTATTGAAGTGTACTATTTCCCTAAAAACTTGGCAAAAAGTACAGTTAATGGGGTCTGATGGCAGAGGCCAAACTGAAAGTGGCCTCACATTGCCAAAACCATGATTCTGTTCATTGCCATCTCCTCTTGGGGGATTAGTACCGCTCGATTCTGTGAAAATCTGCGAAGGACCCGCTTGTGAATTAATACCCTCTCCTCCATTATCAGAACCATAGATGAAATCCCACATTGCCTGATCCATTAAAGGCTCATCAACGTCTTGAATTTCTTCATCAAACATAGGAGTTGGATTGGGGGAAGCGAGCGATCCCTCCAATGTTGGTATATTATTCTCATCAATTCTTGGATGTTCAGAATCATTCAACAAGTTCATGATCTCGGTATACGGGCCACTATCGTATGGGTCATGGTATGGTACAACAGCCCTTGGATCTGCCATATTATATCTTTCTACAAGACTGCACGATTCTTCAAAGTCTCCTCTCAATGTGAAAGGTTTTTGCCCTTTTTGTTGTTTGAGTTTTGCAAGTGGTGCGTAAATGGAAAGCGATCTGAAGGCCTCAAGCACCAAAGTTTGATACTTTGGTGCTTGAGAGCGAAATTGAAACAGGGTTTCTTTTGAATTGTAAAACTGGGAATGTTTGAGAGGGTGCAAAGATATAGAGGAAGAAGGCGCGAGTGACAGTTTATGACCGTTTGAGACTGAGCCGGTTGTTTTGGGATTTCGAAAAGTGTGCGGTTGTGATCGGGTGTTATGCGTTCCACAGTACGGATCTAATTCCTCTGTTCCTGAAGCCCAAACATTTTGGCCCAAGTCATTCTGAAGCCCAATTGAAAATTTGCAACGCCAGCTGTCTAAAACTCTGAAAAAGCAAAACACGTCAGAAAAGGTCAAAAAACGTTTTTTTTCTTTTTCTTTTTTTCTGCCAAAGTGAAAAAACGTTTTAACGCCCCCAAAGGCCAAATCAAGTGAAGAAGTGACGAGAGGGTAGAAGGAAGTGAAAGTGAAATGAAAGCAGCGCTATCGACTCTGATCAGCACCAAGAATCTTCCTCCCCACCACTGCGCTTCATCTTCCTCCTCTTCTCTCTCTCGCTCCATTTGGCTGCACCCAAAGCCCCTCTCTCCTCCACCATCTTTCCTCGCCCCAATCGCACCCGCCAAGTCCCTCAGCAGCAGCAGCATCGGTCTTAGCCGCAGCTCCAAAATCCACACAGCTAATTTCTCGTCGACAATGGCCTCCGCTTACAAGGCCGAAGCAGCCAGGGTCCCGCCTGCCCTTCCCTTGCCCACCCCTCCCGTCACCAAGGCAAGCTATCTCATAATGTCTCTCTGTGTTGTTGTATTGTTTAGAGATTGGAGGTTGAATTTGAATTGGGTTTTTTATGTGGGTGGGTGCAGTTTAAGATTGGACTGTGCCAATTGGCGGTGACGGCTGATAAGGAGAGGAACATTGCCCATGCCCGTAAGGCCATCGAGGACGCTGCTGCAAAGGGCGCCCAGCTTGTTCTCCTCCCTGTGAGTTTTTACTATTCACCCTCTTACTAAATCCTTATCCTTTTGTGTTTTTCTGTTGTGTGCTCATTGACCTTACTGGTTTAAGTTGATTATGGATTATAATTAGCCTGCCCATTGCTTCTTTAAGAAGGAGAATATGTTTGGATACGGATGTTTTTCAGATAAATCAAGTTTTAGATGCCCATAGGACAATATAGCTTGAGGTCTGTATTTCTTATCATGCTTCCACGTGAAATTAGCATATGCCATGGCATAGACTGGGAACTTCGTCCTCTCATAACTTCACTTATTATCGGCTATGAAACTGGGTGTCGTTTTTATTCACTGTACCCACTAAACAGAGATGTTAACATCAAAAGGAGGCGTGGAAGTATATAAGAACATTAATATGTTGAAGAGACCGTCCTAATCAGATAAAATGGTGCTTATAAACTCACCTTTTAAGTTTTTTTTTTTAAAAAAAACCTTTAAGAAGCCGACCTAATCTGACCAAATGGTGTTTATCAACTCATTTTTCAAGTTGAAAGCGCTAACCCTTTGGTCTCCATTTGTGTTTGCTTCTTTGTTTGCCAGGAAATTTGGAATGGTCCGTATTCAAATGATAGCTTCCCGGTTTATGCTGAGGACATTGATGCAGGTGGCGATGCATCTCCTTCAACAGCCATGCTGTCTGAGGTTTCTCAGCGTCTGAAGATCACCATTGTTGGCGGATCTATAGCAGAGCGTTCTGGGGATCGGTTGTACAATACTTCTTGTGTCTTTGGCACTGATGGGAAGCTGTTAGCTAAACATAGGAAGGTAATGCTGTAAGCCTAACATAACGGGGTAAGTGATAATACCATCTAGTGTATCAACCAGACCCACCCGAGGAATGTGACTGCCTCTTGGACTTATCTGGATCTAGCTCAATGAATAGCATCAATCAAAATCTGGACTGTTTATTGTGCATGGGGCCTGCCCCAACACAGGAGGCCTACTGCCCTGGGATGGTCTGGAGTGAAAAATTGCTCACTTCATTTTCTTTGCAAATGAGGATACTTTTCCTTTGATTGAACAAACCTTCACGTTTGGGACACATGATGGTTTGAACATTTAATGCTTACCTGTCAAAGGAAATTATTTGTCAGTCTTTGCTTCTTACTGATTCTGGATGTAATTGCAGATACACCTATTTGATATTGACATCCCTGGGAAAATTACCTTTATTGAATCAAAGACTCTTACAGCAGGGCAGACTCCTACCATTGTGGACACAGGTATAATGCTCAGTTTGTGCAGTAGTGACTATTACAACTTTCTGTTTTGGTTGGGGTCAAAGTCAAGTGATGTCATTTGTTATTTCGTTTACACAAACTCGTATTCCTTGGTTGAAAGTAATTATCATCATTCATTAAGGATGGGATACTAACTATCACATGCTTAGTGCAGAAGTTGGGCGTATTGGCATAGGTATCTGTTATGACATTAGGTTTCAGGAACTAGCAATGATTTATGGAGCAAGAGGTTAGCCTTTTCTTTTGCTTTCCATGGACATGTGCAATTAATTTTTGTTCCCATTGTTTCTGGGCATTGTTACACTAATAAAAGTAAGGGTTTTTTTTTCTGTAATCAGTATCATGATAATTCTTTATTGTTATACACAACTATTTAGATTTAATAAATTCCAAATACACATAATCTGCCACAGGATTCTTCTTTACATGTTAACTAATGTACTTAATATTGAAGAGGAAGTGGAATTATCTCTCGATTGTTTATTCCTTTTCAAGTGAAGGACTGTAATTTCTGCAGTTGGAAATACTGAATGGTAACAGTATTAATTTGTTGACATCAGGTGCTCACTTGATATGCTATCCTGGGGCTTTTAACATGACTACTGGACCGTTGCACTGGGAATTATTACAGAGGGCGAGGTATCAATTAAAATATTGCATAATTTATATTATTTTGAATTTTTTATCCGCAATTCTTTATGTAGTAATTTTCACTGAGATTCGCCTTGCTATGTCTTCTGCAGGGCTGTAGATAACCAGGTGGTTAACATATGTCCTATATGAGATGCACATCCTCGTTTACATTTGTTAAGAAACTTAGAGCTTGTATCATGATACAAACAGAACTTCGTGATAAGATTACATCACTAGAAGCATAGACTCAAGTCACTATTTTATTCTAATTACTGAGTTGATTATCATCTTCCGTGTTAACTCCAACAATTTCTCATGGGTGGCTTTCTGTGGGTTGTCAGCTATATGTGGCAACTTGTTCGCCTGCTCGAGATGCTGGAGCCGGTTATGTGGCATGGGGCCACTCCACCCTAGTCGGACCAGTAAGTGGATACATACTTTTAGCTATATAAAGCATGCTTCCGTTGGATCTTTAGCAGATCCATTCATTGGCAAGTTCTCCCTTTCTACTTTTTAGTGATAAAACAAGGTTCAGCATTTAGCTACTTGTTGAAGCTTTTGCGATTGCAAGGTATTTGCATACAGAGTATCACTAAAAGAATTAAATGTGGCAGTTTGGAGAAGTACTGGCGACTACAGAACATGAAGAGGCAATAATCATAGCAGAGGTTGATTATTCACTTCTTGAGCTTAGACGGTGAGATACGGTTTCCAACCTAAGTATTTTTTTTTTCCTTAGATTTATAGATGAAATATTTTTTCGATATTTTATATAATTGTTTAAAGTAGTTTGTTCCAAATTATGCAGGACAAACCTTCCCTTACTGAAGCAAAGACGAGGTGATCTTTACCAATTGGTAGATGTTCAGAGGTTGAATTCTCAATGATTACAGATGGTTAGAAGATTCCTATTATGCCTGAAGGAAGAAGTGCCAGTGAGAAACCACATGTTTTACTTTTAGAACAAATAAAGAGACCATGTTATTATCGAAGACTCCAATTATTGTCATTGTACCGAGATACTTGGATTTGCTGTGCATTTCTTTGTCTATGTTTTGATAACAAAGGTGCTTTTATGTGGAGATGATGATGCATATTCATGCAGTGCAGCATATACTTTCAATTATGCAACATGATAATAATAATAATAATGATCAAGTAATAATATGCACATTATTAACAAAATTAAACCTGACTGGATCTTATTAAAACCCATTTTCAATACTAAAGTGGTAAGATGTAAAATATGCATTGTGTCGGTTGGATTTTTGGCCAGGGCTGATTCACTTGAGGTCGAGTGAATTTGTTTGAACGTTAAGAAGAGAAATACCCCTAAATCAAGATAGCGTTGACGATATAACAATTGATCGGTCATATTCTTGTATAAGGGAGGCAATCTTCCCTGCAAAGAATAATTTGATGTCGAAGCTTGAACTGATGTTTTCTCTGTGCTTCGTTGCAACTTGCAAAGTGGGGTTTTTGGAGCAAGCAGGAGGAGGGGTGTAGGACCTCTGCTGCTAAAACAGTTTTGGGCCCCGAAATTGAATAGGGAGAGAAGAAGAATTGCAGAAGGCCATAAATGAGAGAGGCCCATCAGACAATGAACTGTGCAAGCAACCTGTGCACGTGAAGATGGAGACCCCAGGTAGGAAAGCAGCTAAGTGCACGTGGGTACAGCATGGCAATGTACAAAATTAGCCTTGGTCCTCATCACCACTCGTCAACCCCTCTCTCTTTCCC